AGATAACGGCTATCGTGAAATTAATTATGTGCTTAAATAGCAACCGTGCAAACATTAAGGGTTAAGCTAATTTTCGGGAGGTCATTTAGAGCGTTTTTTTCCACTTTGGACGCTGCAAAACCAACGCTATATATGCATTTTGCAGAAAAGTTATGCTGCAGACAGCGAGTGACCATGAACTGGCGAACAAACGTTTTGTGCAAACTTTTCACGAAGTTAGAAATAGTTAGATATGTGCGAACTGTTGCCAGGTGAAGATATGTAGAAGAAAGCCAAACTAAATTTAATTTTTTGGTTTCTTAAAAATGTTGATTTGTTTTAAGAATAGTTTAGAAAAGATAACTGTTCAATATTGAATATCAGAGTTGGTGAAGACTAAGACTGCCAGGCAACTGTGGATAAAATCTGATAGTATAAAAATCTCAAAAAACTGTACACATGCTGGAAAATGCCTCACCTAACCATTAAAGAGACTAACTTAAAGGATGCAGTTCTTAACAAAAAATACTTCAGAACATAGCAAAACTACTGTTATGCAACTAAAAGACAGCCAGCTGTCATAAAGAACACTGCAAGGTATTTAAAAGACCAAGTTAAAAGAAAATGGTCGAAGAAGGCACTCGTAAATCAGTTTTCTGGCCAACTTCGAAATATTAAATTTAGAAGCTCTATATACAACATGTTTCAAAACATAAAAAATCTGGCAGCTACCTTAAAACCCCTTTAAAGACCCTACTTGGGAACATAAAATCTAAAACATGCTACAGAACATAAAAAATTCGTTGTCCCTTGAAAAGCCTCTCAAAATAGTATTTACAACATGTAAAAAGTTTTTTTATGAACTAGAAAGCAAGAAGATGCTAATAAAAAAACTCTCCAGCACAGCTGAAAAATTATTGTACAAACATAATTGGTAGGAAACTTGCGCTGAACTATTTTAAAAACTTACCGAAAACCATACAACATTTAACTAAAGAACTCACTTATAAACTACAAAGCTAAGATACGCTAAAAAAAAACTCTCTTCAGAGAGTTTCTCTTCAGAACATATGGAAAGTTATTGTGGAAATATAATTGCTGAAAACTTTCTTGAAACAAGCTTTATAATTTTTAGAAAACGCACTTGATAATATTTTAGTCATAAAGTTCGTATTAATGTTAGTATAGAACAACTCAAAATAACTGCTACGAAACTAAAAGTTAACACGATCTAATAAAAAAATTAACATTTCAATTGATATGACCTAATCGATAACAAACAAGCTGAGAGTCTGCTATGGAAATCGCTTCAGAACAGCTGAAAGATTATTTTGTGACCTTAAATGTTAGGAAGCACTCATGGAACACGCTTCGACATCTAACGAAATATATTAAACATAAGCTTTTATTGAAAGTTTCCGTAGTAACTTTTTAAGTAACATTTTTATAGACTCCTTGTGAACATAAATATTTAAACCGCCAAATAAAATATTTTTCGGCACAACTTAAGTGCTAGCTTAGAAGTATTAAGCTAGCATACAATCTCTGAACTAAAATAGCTATTTCGAAGTATCTGTAAAGTAGTCTAGGAAACATTGATAACGGTGGAATTTCACGTAAAGACACACTTATGGTTTGAGTAATGTAAAAAGTAATCTTTAAATATAATATTTACAAAATTTATATAAGGAGTCTTCGCTTTAACGAAACTATAATTTTCTATAGAAAAATTGATGCGTAAGTGTCTGGAATCCAAAAAAGCTCAAGCTAAAGCTCGTAAAGTCTCAGTAGAATCGAAAGCATTCGATAAAAATATATGTTAAATATTTATAGGTTTTATATTAGGGCGCTACGATATAACGTAATTTTCTAAAGACGGTCTAACGGTAGTTTTCTAAAGAATAGTTAATGAGTAAGTGCCTGGCACGCTAAAAATCGCTGAAAGTCAAACTTAAATACAAAAAACTATGCTGAAACATAAGGTACATATGGTTTAATAATAATAGACGTAGTTTGACTTTTTAGAGTCTATTAAACTTGGAAGAAAATGTTTGACTGATAGGTAAGTGAATAGTCACCAGAAAGTATACACCAGCATATGAAACTTTTTTTTTTAGTGCCAAAAGTATACGGACTCCAAGTTTGAAGATGAAGGTGAATGATTAATGTGATTATTTCAAAGGTTTAAATTTTTTGTCAAAAAAATTAGCTGTTGTCGAGAAGAACTACGAAGTCCGACACTTAAAAATACGTAACAAAATTTCATGTTTCTTTTTCCAAATAGACACCTGTAGACGTATGAAGCGTTAATACTTAGGCGTAAACTACATAAATATAGAGTAAATTTGTGAATACTTTCTTAAAACGATTAAAAATGGAAATTATCTGCGATTGGCTCGAGAAAGCACATGGGGTTTAATAATATTTTGAAAAAAGCCAGGTTATGAGCGAAATTTCTTGGGAATGTTAGGTTAGGATGAATGTTGTAATAGTCATATATGTCATACAATGCGTGCTATATTAATAAAATATTTGTAAATATTATTTCAAATATAAATTGCGACTCTATTGCTCGATATAACACTTTCTGGAGAGTAAGGTTGCGAGAATGAATTTAGAGGTTAAGCAAAGTTCGTGGAACACCAAAAGTGGCAGTGAAATATATTAAGCAATTATTTTAGCATGCCTTGAACTCATTTAAGGAACTGTTTTATTAAGCTGATGCGCTTTTTGCTATAGTTAGTGAAGGAGATATAAAAATATGCTGTTGTTCGGTTTACGAAATTTTTTTTCAAAGCTAACTGTATTATGTGTATTATAATATTGCTATGAAAATGTGTTACTAAAATTAAAGCAATTGTAAATTTAAATTTAGAACGCTAAAAGTTCTTTGTAGCAGCTATATTTTGGAGTCTTTGGTTATCTAAAATAGAGAAAGATCTAGCTTAAGCCTGTTATACTCAGAATGTTACAGCAATGCTTGAGGCCGCTTGCAGCAGCTATAAAACGTAAATCCAATTGATTTTCTTCAAATAGTTGCTATATAATCAGCGAAATTTCTATGTTTATTCATAATAGACAAACGAATTACATAACCTATAAATTCAAGCAATTACAAACAGAAAAAACACAGCTCTTTTGATATGCCGAGCTTTTGCGTCACACTAACCAAACCGGTTTACATACTTCGATGAACCAATTCAGACAATTATTTCACTTATGCATCAAGCTTATGTTCTACAAGCCTAGTCTACAACTGTCTGTAGATTTGTACTTATATAGGTATATATATATATCACACTCAAATCCACTTTGATTAATCATTTGCCTTGTGTGTACAAAGCGCCTATGAAATGCATTATTTATCAACATCAGCCAGCCCTCCACCATATTGCCGCATACCGGCTGTCAACTGCAGTGACGAACAGACGACGGGGTTGTTTGTGTTCTACGGTAGGCACTAGGCACTTAAGGGGTGTGTGGACGAGTGACACGTACACGCAAAACACTTTTTTTTACAATAAAGTACATATACATATATTGTATTAAATTCACGCCATCTCGACGTTAGAATTTTCGAAGTACGCCATTTACCGACGGCAAATGGTGTCAAGCGCTGAAGAACACTAGAGAGGCGATACGAGTATTTGAAAGTGTACGTATAATTGCTAAAAGTAATTGTTGTGTGGCAAAAATTAAATAAACACAATAACGGTGTATACAAAACCCTCAATTTTCACTAAACAGTTGAGTTTACTAAAATAAATTTGCACATAACCTCAAAAAATTGGAGCTGAAAATGCTTTAATATTTATATAACGGTACTGCATGTAACTTTTAGTGTTGAAAAAATCGCGTAAACACACTTGAGTTGTCCAATACACACTGTTATACTCAGTTTTTTAATATGTGTATAACATAACCTCAAAAGTAACTAGTTAAAAACTTATTGGAATACTTATGTGCTTAGCAGCAATAACTTCAGAATTGTAAAAATAACATAGCGGTATTAGGCACGACCACAACTTTCACTAATCTATCGCAGTTACTAAATTTTTTTCATATAACCTCAAAAATTACCCGAAGAAAAGCTTAGCATACACCTATGACAGCTGAATGAACACTTAGCGTTTGCAGAATTGCTTACAAGGACCAACTTGGTATTATGTAGCTAAAAAATTTTCTTTCTAGAACTTTTTTTTTGTGTACATAACCTTAAAAATTATTCGAGAAAAATCTTTGTAGATTAGTTATATGGTTACTGAAGGCACATTTAGCATCCAAAGAATCCCTTGAATATACTAACAACGTATAACGTAGTCGCAAATTTCACTTATGCGTGACGCATAATACTTTTTCTTACACATAACCTCAAAATAGGCGCGTTAAACAGCTTTTTAAATAAGCATCAGGTTACTGAAGAATACCTTAGTAACGTCTACACCTATGACCGCACAAATAACTCGAGAAAAAATATTTTAGAAAGTTGAAAAATTTATCTGCATACACTAAGAGGGTTCAAAGCCGAAATTTTACGCTCCATAACTTTTTTGCAAAAAATGGAAAATCTTTTTAGAATACACATACGGCTACTGATAGAACCTGCAATGTTGAAAGATTCAGGCTTATGGGGTCTAATGTAGCATCAAATTTCCTATCTAACCGCTTTCTATAATTTTTCTTACACATAACCACAAAATACATTCATTAAGAAGAGTTTTGGATGCGCATGAGGTTACTGAAAAGCTCCTATAATCGGGAGCGACACTTCGGAACACCTCAAAGTTTACTTTCTAAATTTTTATTTTACACATAACCACACAAATTAATCATGAAAAAATATTTTATAATACATGCGGCAGAACTTTAAGTCTCGGCAGTATTCTTCAACACAGTAGAACGTTTAACGCAGCCTAAAATTTCACTTAACTGGTATTTCTCTAGTCTCTTCGACACAAAACCTCACCAATTTCTGACACTAACTTATTTTGTCGATAATAATATTGATTTTTTTGACTTACCGTCCACTTTTAGTGATCACCATCTCCGTGCCGAGCTTGTGGAACTTCTCCCACAAGTCCTTGCCCTCCAGCGTCACCTTCGGATCATCGACCACGCCGTCATCCTCGGGTTGTAGCGCACGCAACGGTCTCATCGCCGGATGCAGTTGATGCGCCACAGCTGATGCGAGCACCACGTCTTCGGCGGTGGTGTAAGGTGTGCCCAACGGGTGATGGGCGTGTGGATGATGGTGTGGGAAACGCAGACCGGCCGGATATAGACCGGGATGTGGACCAGCCGGACTGCCAGCGAGCGCAGCTAATGCGGCCGCAGGAAAGTAAGCCTGTTGCGGCAGGTGTGGCCCCAAAGCGTGATGACCCGGCACCGGTGAATGATGTGGATGCTGTGGCGCTGGCGGTTGTGCGGGATGTGCGTGCGGATGCGGCGGTGGCGGTTGACGATGCGGCGACAAATGCGGCGATGATAAATGTGACGCGGCTGGATGAGCTAGTGGCTGCTGCGACGACAAATTATTGTTGCTGCTTTGAGGATCGTTGTTGTTGTTGTTATTATTAGTTGTGGTGGGTGTATTGCGGTTGCTGTTGCTATTATTATTATTGCTGCCCGATTTGCTGCCGATGCTACCGCTGGTATTATTATTATTATTATTGCCAGGCGATAAGAGTGGCGGCTGTTGGCCACCCACCGGTGATGCTTGACCGGCGCCGCAAAGCAATTGCTGTTGATGATGTTGCTGTTGCTGTTGCAAATGCAATTGCTGTTGCTGCTGTTGGTGCTGTTGCAAGAGCGCTGCCGCGCTTGTGGGTGTAGTTGGTGGCGCTTGCTGGTGCGGCTGTGCGGGTGAGGTGGCCGCACTCAAGACGGTATTACCGCCGCCTGCACCCAAATCACCGGCTGCTGATGCGGTTGCGGCTGCGGCAGCTGCTGCGGCGGCGGCGGCGGCGGCGTTACTAGCCTGTTGTGCCTGTGTGCCCGCCGTCAACAGCGACGACACGCTGAAGTCAGTGGGTCGGGAGAGTTGCAGAAATGGATGATATGCCATCCCATTTGCAAACCTGGCGAATGGATCCTCAGCAGACTGATGAAGCAACTCTTGAACGTCGTATCTCATTACATTACACTTTCCAGCAACAGCGGGGATGCAAAAAGCGCGTCTACTTGGCAATTGCCAGTCACACGCAATGCGGCAAATGTGCGTAGCAAGCGGTACGACGCCGATCCGAAAGCTGGTTCTACTAACTTTGGAGTCTTAGTGGCGCCTATAAAAACGGCAGCTGGACACAACGGAGGAGCGATCCAAAATTCACTTCAAGTCTTTTTTTTTTTGTTTAAACCACAAGCACTACGTTGCCTCGTTTTCACTAAGCGCGGTTCGCTTCCTCTTTGGGTCCAATTTTGTAGTTAGCATCCACTTTTATTTGCTTAATCTCTAAAATTTTGGTTATTTACAGCTTTCCTCACTATGCTTCCCAGCGCACGCTTTGTTAGAAAGCTTTTTTGATATAAAAAGCTTTTTACTTCACTGCGAACTGCCTCTGCTCAAGCTTACAATGCTAGTTTTGTTAATCTCCTGACCTTCTAAATAAATTTTTTGTAATTTTTAGGCTATAAATGTCGCTTTAGAACCCTTTTCCTCTATTTAGAAGCGCTCTAGCTGTAGCTCTTGCAGCGATATCTATTCCCAACGCCGCTTTTTGAAGCTTCGCGCAGCTAATTTTGCTTTGCTTTGTGTAAATTTACACGCTTTTATGCTTAAAATTTATGGTTTAGTTTAATTTTTTTGTTTTAGTTTTTAAAGTTTTTGCAATAAATTTTAATTTTTGTAGTTATTTAATTTTTTGTTATTTTTGTAACTTTCAAAATTTTTTATTTATTTATTTACACTTCTAATGCACTTGCCACACTTTTTATTGTTGTTGCAATTGTTTGCTGCTGTTTTGTTGTATTTATTGTTGCTTTAATGCATCCACAGCTGCTTGCAACACGCTGAATATGGTTTCAAAACACAGTAACAGTTTTTTCACAATTTATATTTGCTTGCAACACATTTAAAATTTCTATAAATTGTAAATTTTAAATTTATATTTACTTGCAACACAATTAAAAATGTTGCAAAACACTTTGTTTTAGTTTAAATAAGTTTTTTTAAATTTAATTTTAATTTTTAAAATTTTTAATTTTTTTCCCGTGTTTTTTAATATTTTGCTGGCTTTGAACTAATTTACACGACGCGTTTATAGTTAGAATTGCACTTTTCCGCTAGCTTTTTGAGTTATGCACAAATTTACATAATTTTTTAAAATATTTTAGAGATTTTTTACAAAGTTTTAAAAAAATTTTGTTGAATTTTTAGCGATTTCTTACAAAAAAATTTTATTTTTAATTTTTGTGGATTTTTTACAATTATTTAAATATTTTGTAAAATTTTTGTAGAATTTTGGCTAAATTTTTATTTGTAAATTAGTTTTTTTTACACAGTTAATTCGCACTTGCACTTAATTCGCCGTGCTGGCATATTTTTTCGCTGCGCTTGTGCTTATTTGTTACCTTGCCGCAGCAGCTTTTCCAATATGACTGTAAATTGAAAGTTAAAAATTAGTAAAAACTTATTTCATAAATATTTTTGTACTCTCTACACGGTTTTATTTTGCATTTTGCGGCGGGCGCAGTGACATGTGACGCGTGACAGTTCCGGCGGCTTTACGCTTACGCCCTTACAGTGTCAATACGAAAGCGCTGTGGACGTGCTTTGCTACAGACAAGTTTTGCAACTACTTTTTTTAGGAAAATAAAATATTTCGGCGTAAAATGCAAAAGTACGTTTTAGCGGCGGCTAAACAATAAACAATTTTTCTATGTAACGCACACGACGACGACAATTTGAAAAGCGTACTTGCTGCACACGAAAAATCGAGTAAGAATTTTTTGAAAAGGCGAGTAATCTAGCGCACACAGTTGCGAACGAAACAAAAAAAACAACACTATTTTGACTTTCAATATACACACTGGCAGCCGAGATACGCACTACACGCCGGTCGCTTGCAAACTGGAAAATACACGTACTCGCCGAAGCGGCGCAACCCCCCAAAAACCAGTCTTGTGCAGCGTACCAAGCGCAGCGGCAGCGGCAAGGAGAGTGTAGAGCGCGCTGGCAAACGTAGTGGCAGCGTCGCGCACAGTGGCATTTGAATGTGTGTGTGCCAGCGCGCAGCTGAGCCAGTAACGAGCGAGTGGCGAGCGTAAGGCCTGCACGAGCGCGCAGCATACGAGCGAGTTGCACAGCAGTGAAGACAAGTTCATTTAGTTATAAAAGCAGCGCCGGCGACGACGCGCGCTGCTGTGGCGATTGCGACTAAAACAAGCAGCGCTATTAAGAAGCGCTAGCAGAAGATTTAGCTAGCGAGCAAAATAATGAATTGAAATCAGAAACCGGTATGCCTGCGCCACTGTGTGTATTGGTCTTACTCGTCCATATTCCAATAAGAAGTAGCGCGCATCGACGCGTTTGTACGGCGTTGGCAGCGCAGCAAAAAAGCGTTAGGGCTAACAAGACTGGTGACACCAAAGCGCCAAGATACGTAATAAGAAACAAAAACAGCAAGAAAAAATAAATAAAAAACAAAAACAGCAAGCTAGTTTGAGTAGCAGTAGAAGAAGCAACAGCAGCAGCATGAATTTCGCACTTTCTGGCGACAACGTCGCATATTTTTTGCTATGCTGCTTTGATTGCATATATTTACAATACATGTGTGTGTGTGTGCTGTGGCCAGCCAGTCGTTCACCGGCCGTCGTAGCTTTATTTTGTAGCGTGTGGGTTAGCGGACGCGCGCTGTGAGACGCCGCCATGGCGCAGGTAGGTGGTGCTGAGCTTAGCCGCACCGCTTGTTGTTAGTGTTGTTGCGCTAGTATTGGCGTGTGTGTAGGTGCTGGTTTTGTCGCATTCGCAAGCACTGGCTGCTTTGCTTCGTGTTGGCCATTCGCTTGCATGCGCGTGTGTTTGTAGCCTGTCTATTGTACGTGCGATAAATGTGAGCGACAGTGGGCCATGCAGTGATTTATTTTTTGAGAATAGAGAATTCAATGTATAGTGTACGAGAGTGGCAAAAATTTCAATTTTTATATTAAAAATATTTTTCAATCATATTTTATATTTTTTAGAAAATTATATCAGATTATATAATATAATAAATTTTTTTTCTCACAAGTCACGTTAGGTCTTTATAGCCATTAAATTACAGAGTAGTTTAATGGATATTGATTTTCCCAGTTATACGTCTAAGAACCCATATAAATCTGTTTTCCTGTGAAAAAAATTATACGAATTCCATTCTACATGAGATTTTAACTCACGAAAGTTCTCCGAAGTGGCTTGAAATATGTATGTTAAGTAGATTTTCACATGCGAATTGTTTTAAAAATCATCTAAGTCATCTGTTTTCGGCTTTCTTCTCGGGGTTTGCCCTAACTTTCTGCCTATTTTGTATTATAAATTATATAATATTTATTTTCATATATCAAAAAAAAAAAAAGAAATTGTTATAAACACTTCTATTAAGTAGTCTGACTCTTAATGACACTGTGTGAATAGTTTTCAATTTAGTTAGAAGCAATTAACTGTCATCAACGCTAAGCAGCTAAAACTTCTTATATCTTTTGTATTTTATCGTTTGAGTGGCAATGAAGAACTTTTTTGAGGGTTGAATAAGCTTGTTTCAAAACGTCACTTAAAGAGTATATATGTGGTATAAAATATAGATATATATAATCAAAACTTATATAAATTTTAAAGTCGTGAAAAATGGTTTTATTCAAAGAAAATTTCTTTCTTCTCAGTTTTGAGCTTCTTTTTGCTTTAAAAGGCACCATAAGATCAAGAAAAACCGGAGATGAGATTTTTCAACCGATCAAGAATTAGTTGTCTTATAAGAGTGTTCTGAACTTCAAAAAATAATCGTTAGATTAAATATGATAAAATTTTTGGCGTAGTTTTGGAAGTTTTCTGCTGTTTTTCAAAGCTTTGCTCTCTAATTGATTATAATTTCTTGGTTCATGGGTCAGAGGGGAAAAAAATCGTGATCATTTTTATATTAATTTATCATTATTTTTTATTTAATTTTGTATTTTTATTCTTTATTTTTTGCTAAATATTTTCATTTTATTTTTAAACATTTAACATAAGGTCTGTGCTGTAGATTTCTTAACTTGCGAGTCTTGCACCCGAAATCGCTATTTATATCAAATCCACACGCAAATAGCTCCACTGCTGCTCCAACGTCGTGTGAAAAACACCAAAGCAAACGAAACTCACACACACACGCGCACTCAAGTGCTATGCGACCAAGGCGAGTTATCTCTTTAGCCGCCCGCGTGTGTGCAAGTGTTGAATGCGGCAACGACGACACCGACGACTACGTTGATGACGCCGACGACGATGTTGATGATGAGCATAACAACAACAACTATGAGGACATCGGTGACCGCAACACATCGTCGAGAACGACATTGGGGCCGTGTTAAGAGTTCAAATTCGGCGCCGTCGCGCAAAGATGGCGCGCGATGGAGTGTGAAAAAAAGAGACAACGCTATGGTGTTAAGTGCAGGTGACAAAAATAAAATGCAACAACAAAAACAGCAACGTGAAGATGAACAAAGCAAATACAAACCTGACTTGCTGCTAGCCATAAGCGAAAATGATAAAAAGGAAAAAAGAAAAGGCAAAGGGAAGCAGAAAAAGAATATTTGCTGCCTTTGTTGTTGTTGTGTGGTTGTGTTGCAAGATTGGTGATGGCGTTGCAAAAGAGCAAGCAGCCAAGCCAAGCAGGCAGGCAGGCAAGTAGTTGAAGAAGCGCAAGGGTCCTAACGATCGGTTGGTCAAACTGTTTGTTGTTGCTATTGTTGCTGTTGTTGCAAGTGTGTAGCGTGAAGGAGGTGTTTGCGTTCACAGGCAACTAGCAGCATGCAAGTGTTTGTATGTGCGTTCGTTAGCTGCCGCGCTGCAAGATGGACGATGGCGTCGGGCGAGTGAGTGTCCGCGATATGTGGCGCAGATAAAATAAATTAAATACAGTAATAAGGTGATGATAATGAAGTCGAGGCAGCAGCTAAAGAATTAGCGAAATGCGAATGTACATACATATGTATGTATATATTTATGTGTGTATGTGCATACAGTGATAATGTTGGCGATTTTAAAGTGTTGCATGTAATGAAAGGAAATGGTATGCGAAAGGGGAAGTGATAGTGTACTTTTGATTTGCTTAAGTGGCATGTAGCGAAGAGAAATAAAACAAGAAAAAACTTCGGCTACAGGGTAGCAATAATACCCTTCACTGGTGCATTTCTTATAGTCTCAAAAGGTATAAAATGATATTTATCTTGATGTTGAACGGTCAGTATGTATGGCAGCTATATGAAATAATCGTCCGATTGGAATGAAACATTGTTGCGTTGTCTTGTACAATAATCCAAGCCAAATTTTGTGAAAATATATTGTCAAATTAAGAAGTTTGCCATACAAGAACTTGATTTTTATCAGTCAGTTTGTATGACAGCTATATGATATATATAATATAACAGTCTGATATCGGCGATTCCGACAACCAATCAGTTGCTAGCCGAGAAAAGAATGTGTTTAAAATTTCAGATCGATATGTCAAAAACTTAGGTCACAAAGTTGACATATTGGCGTACTTGACTGAAATTACAAACAGTGGCATTTCTTCTAGCTCACTAGAATTTTTCAAAGCTAATGTGATGGATGTCGTTTCAAGCTTTTGCAATGACAATAAAAACAATTTGTAGCAGACTGAGATCAATACGAGCACAGTTTACCAGCTCTGGTTCGTTAACCAAGACCAGAAACCAATTTGAAATATGGCAACCGTCAGGTCTTAATGTAGAGTGCGCAAGCCTAGAAGGAGCACAATTCTGCTTAACTTTAGCTAAGTGCATAAGATGAGTATTCAGGCTGGAGTTTATAGTTTTTCTTACTAAAAAAAAAAAAAAAACAAAAAAAACATGGTAGTTCCCATACAACATTTTTATTTTCATCGTTGAGTTTGTATGACAGCTACATAATATAGTGCTTCGATCCGGAAAATATTTTTCACATATTTTAGCAATACCTTAAGCAATAGTCCGACAAATTTCGTGACGTTATCTCTACAACTAAGAAAGTTTTCCCTAGCAGAATTATTTTTCTATCGCTCAGTTTATATGGCAGCTAAATGCTATAGTAGTCCGATCTGGAAAATTTCTTTAGATATTATTGTGTTGCCTTGGGCTACAATCCATGTCAAATTACGTGAAGGTATCTGGTTAAATCAAAATCTTTTTCATACAAGTACTTAATTTTGATAGTTCAGTTTGTATGGCAGCTATATGCTATAGTAGTCCGATATCGTTAGTTCCAACAAATGAGCAGCTTCTTTGGAAGAAAAGGACGTGTGCAAAATTTTAGAGCGATTTTTAATAAATTGAGTTATAAATCGCATATATGCAGACAGACGGTCAGCGCTTAATCTGGGCTAAAACGCTAACTGCCATATACGATTTCAGTCCGCCATATAATGCTC